TGCTGATAACGTGATGGAAATTACTTAAATGGCAGATATATTTTGAATATATAGTAGAAAGAAATAAGCAAACCACAAATGCACATTACATGTTTAGTTAGCCAAGTAAATAAACATGTAACATGCATTTGTGGTTTGCTTTATTTCTTTCTACTATATTTTCAAAATATACAGTCAAAAGTCGTTAATCCGGACACCAAAGCTACAAACTTTCTGCGCATGCGTCAACGCATGCGCGTAATACCTTTACGCATACGCATAACACACATATAACAGACGGTATAAGCTAAGCTAAAATTATCTAATTATCTATTTCAGTTAATGTTGCAGATTGCGTTGTTCCTTAATCTTCGAATTGGAACTGGCTTATTATTTTTTGCAGACTGTTAGAGCAATTTTATAAAAGTAAGCTTGAACTTTCGATTATGTCAAATAGAATTTCCGATATATATTTACTAATATGTAAAGGATCTACAAAGTGAAAGTATGTTTCGATGTCCATCAAACAAAAAGTGGAATTGCTGCAAAAAATGGATAAAGGCATATCCTTTGTTTCTCTAACCATTCCGAAATCTGTTTATCAATTTCACGCTGCTCTGCGGGGGGGGGGCATCGTGGTGCACAATGAACTGGAAGTTGATCTGTCAGCACTATCCTTATCTTCAGGGCAGATGTTTTTATTTTATTCAGTTTATAATTCCCTACTAAATGTAGTATTTCATCTTGATGTATTCCGTCTTTGATATGATTTAAATTAAATTACTTGTCATTATAAATATCACTAGTACACATCAAATAGTTTTCTGGTTGCAATTTTCTAATTTTGACTATGCGTAATGTATGCTTTACGCATGTGCGTGTTGAAAGAAATGTTTAATAAAGTAAACAAATAAATATTAAGCTTTTTTTTTTTTGTAAATTTTGATACCCTTTAAATCATAATTGCTCTTTATTTCAAAAATTATGGTTTCATGTTTTTAATTTTGTAATTTCTGCATGCCATTTTACCAGATTTAAACTGATGATCTATAATCCCGAAAAATCGATAATCCGGAATCGCCGAAGTCCCGACGAATCCGAATTAAAGACTTTTGACTGTAATAGCTTATTATTGGTATTTTGGTTGGTGCCAGCTAATACCAAGTACCTATACTTTATCTTGATACTTTTGAAAAAAAGTATTTTTCTATTCTTCAGAGCAGTATTTTTTTTAGATAAAAATAAAAATAAATGAAGGTCTCTTCCACAAAAGAAAATTTTCTTGATAGAATAGGAGCAACTACTGACAATTGTTCACTATCATCATTAATGTTCTCACACTGTTCAACAGCAGCTACCGGTGTTGAGAAAGATATTAAATATGAGGCAAAATGATGTTCAGCAAGTTCTAATGTTCAAGCAAGTTCTAAATTATAAACATTTTATAGTTTCACATATTATATTTTTCCTATAAAAAACTATTAACATTTTATGTCTAATGATATTCATTTGGAAATTCACACAATTCTAAAACTTCTCCCCTTCCTAGTCTTTTAAACTACCTTCCTCAGAAAGTGTCTATGAGTGGATGTCAAACAAAATTTAATTAAATTTATGTTATCCAGATCAGTAATAGAATGTTTTCAAATTCAAAGCTATGCACATGAGTTTTTTAGGTACTGCTCTTATATATGCCCTCAGATGTATGGTATCACCAAATGGGGTGATATGTGTTCTGTGTTGGTTTTTGGCATGATTGTGTGTTCTGCGATGATGTTTGACACAATGTTGTTTATATGGCAACCCTTTTGATGTTGAAACTTGATTTTGCTGGAGTGGTTTTTATTTGCTGGTTGGTTGGTTTGGTGGTTGTTTTGAAATGGCTTATGTTGCAATGAAAGACATGATGGCAAAATTTCAGTCGCGTATTTTGGATTGTGTACAAGGTAAATTTAGTATTAAAAGGTACAGATAAAATTTTATTCATGAATGTATGCTGGACTTTGTATGCTCTGTGTCTCGGAAGATAGTGGGGAAAGGATAAAGTAGTGGAAATTGATAAGTTTTGCTGGTGTTTGAAATTGATGGTTCTTTTCCATTTCGCCGGTGCAGGCGATAAAGTCACCAAAAATGATATAACCTACTCCAAATGATATATTTCCAATGGTAAACTTTTACCGCCACATTTTCAAAACAAGTCACAGCTGTTTTTTATTAGTCATGTCTTTACCCTAATACGTAAAAAAAAAGGATGAAAAACCAATGGAAAATATTGATTTGCCCAGAACGGAGGAAGAATCTGTCAAATTTTTTTAAGCGAAAGGCGTTTTGAGCTAAAATTGCTACTTGTGATAATAATCATGAAATGAAATTGTATCTCAGAGACTAAATTTAGTGGCGCTGCGACCTTCCAGTTTGTCGCAGTAAAAGAAGTATCTGGTAAGACACATAGTTTAAGTCATCAAAATCGAATTTCTTGTAGTGTGTGAGGTTTATTTGTGGTTGGAGCAAAGAGTAACTTCAGTTAAATCGTGTAAAAAATCAGTCAGTTGAAAATCAGTTATATAACAATTGTGGACTCGAAGAACTACATAAATACTACTCAAATAACTACACAAGGTTTGTGTGGATTCTTTGCTTAAACATAAATAATGGAAAATAGTAGAACCTGATATGAACCTGACATGATGAAAGTATGTTCACGAAGCGCAAAAAACAATGCAGGACGGATTCTACCACAACAGTGGATCTTTGGTTGAGCTTGTCGTAAAACAAAAGAATGTTTCCTTGTAAAGCTGCCAGATCGTTACATGAGCATTATATTAGAAACAATTAAGGAAAATTTGAAAAATTATATATTATAAAATATAATACGTTAAGATTCGTGGAAATCATGCTGGACTGAAAAACTGGCAGAGGAAAGTTTCGAACATTTCAAAGTGAACTATGAATACAATTTTGTTGATACTGGAACACACAAAAAATAGAAAACTCTTGCGTAGCATCAAATGGCGAAATAAGAAACACAGAACAAGGCACATCATCATCTAAAAAGTTATCTCACGGAATTTATGTGCAGAATTGGAACGAAAGACCCATTTGAAAAAAATGTAAACGATATTAAAATGTGTATGCCTCTAAAGAAAAGATTGTTAGAACCAACATTTGTTAGCCTTTTTTTTTTATATATATATTCTGCCATTAAAGTCTCCTTGGTGAAATTTGCACTAGCAAAAAAGAAAAGTACCAAATTGATATTTCTGCTGTTTGAAGAAGCGTTCACAATAGCAAGTGCATTTTATTTTATTGTTGTTCTTATTTTGTAGAATGTTATGCTCATTGTTTTTTGCTAGGAATTTCTGTCGTTATTGTTGTTTTATGAATTGTTTTTAGTTTATTTTGTTAATTTGTGTGCAATGCCACAACTGTGCACGATGCTTAGATTGTGCAATTTGATTTTTTTTAAAGTTAAAACAGAATGCTGTGTACATGGTATTGTTTGAAATTTATTGTTGCTATGTTAGTTTATTTTAGCAAGGTGTGCGTAATTCCTAGATTCCTACGCTGCATAGATTGTGCAATTCTCTGTTTTTAAGTTAAAACATATCACTGTGTACAGGGATTCTTATCAAATATTTTTGGTTAAAAACTTTATGTTTTTGCTATCTAAATTTTTTGTGTTTGTTTCAGGTTTTTGGCATAAATTGTATGTTAAAAACGTGGGTTTTGCAAAAATGCGATTTTTGCAGACATTTTAGGTTTAAAGTTCGAAATGTAGACAAAAAATTTAGATAGTAATGTGGAGCCGTGGAGTTTCTCACCAAATATGTTTGGTGAGAAATTTGTCACCAATCGAGGGCGTATATAAGAGTAGTTCCTTTCTTTACTATAAATGTTCAGATATAGTTATGTAAGCAAAGAAAAAAATTTATAAGCACTTTCACATAAATTGCATCTGCAAATATAGCTGGATAAAAAGTTTGCATGCTTTTATAATCAACTAAAAGCATGCAATTCATAGGATCACTGTATCAGTGATTTTAAATGTATCTCATCAAATTAGCAAATAAGTTTTTAAATGGCAAAGTTTTTTTTTTTTTTTTTTTTTTTTTTTTTTTTTTCTTTCTTATTTATTTTTATCTATCTGATAGTATTCAAAATATCTTGCATGTCAATTTCCTATTGTTTTAGTTATTTTGTGTATGATTTTCTGGTACTTGCATACTGTTGCCCCCACCTTGGCACAGTTTCGTGATTTTTTACAGATAAAGAGGTAAATGTTGCTTAGATGCAAGTTGGTGATTTTCATGACTTTTTTTTTAAATTATTCTCAAACTGTTAATATTTATTGTAAGTTGGCAAAAATTAACAAATGTGAAAAGGAAATATACTTTAGTAATTTAATGTAATACTTTAAAAATAAAAACACTTACATTTTTCTCCAAATCTTTCTGTAATTTTTTTGTGCTATTCTCTCCAAGTACACAGCAATCTGGTTACTCTTAAAAAAATCAGAACATTGCAGAGATTTGGCATCACGCAATCTCCAGTAACATCTGCTATCTACCCAATACATTTTCTCGTTCTTCCCTTTAGATTTTGCATCAGAATTCTGTATTTCTGAAAAATTTTATTCTTCCATTGCTGGCAAATTCCATAAGTGCATAATTTAAAATTAAGTTTAAGACATGAAATATTACAATTAATTTATAAAAGTCATAGAAATGTAACAAAAAGATTTAGTACAAAAATGATGATGTTGCAATACTGAAGGATTGTTATAAGCGTGGATGTCTGAAGAATTGTTATATACATGGCTGCCAGAGTTTGGCACGCTCTGAAATTTTGGCTCCTAAGGTGATTGTGATAATAATGTAAGCACTGATTTTCTGTTAGTGCCTGTGTGTATTGTTCAGAGAAATCAAATTATTTATTCCTCTGTATGTGAGTCATCAAGTATATGGTGAAGATGTTTTTGTTGTTATTTTATGTAATCTTTGTTTGATTTGTTTCTTTTATAGGAAACCAGTACTCTGCCTGATATAAACTTCAAGATTCCTGATCTATATAAATCTGACATTGAAAAGCATTTTAAATACATAGCAAATCAATTACTATGTGATTACAAGAATTTGCTAGTCAAGCTTTTAAATTCCAAACTTCCAAAACTGCCACAAAGGTGGAATCTATATGAAGGATGGATGCAATACGATAATTCTGGTGAAGCAAGACCTGTAGATTTTCCTGAAGAATCTGCATTAGTTTTTGATGTTGAAGTCTGCATGCAAGATGGAAATTTCCCTACAATGGCTACTGCTGTATCTGAAAAGTACTGGTATGTATGTATGCATTACATGATCCGAAGTATCCAGACACACCTAAAAGGTACTGGATTAGTGCACACTGGCATTATGTTATGAGCTTTGACGGGCAAGTTTAATACAGTTATTACATCATAAAAAGTGCAAAATAAGAAGAAAAAGTGATTTAAATATGTTTGAACATGATAAAGTTTTCCAGTAATACATTGTGAAAAATCTCTTACAAAATTTCTGTGGTGTTATACCTACGGTGACCAGACGTCCTTTATTTCAGAGGACAGTCCTTTATTTGAAGGCTCTGTCCTCTAACTTTATTTATTTCCTGAAATAAGCATATTGTCCTTTATTTTGAGAAATCGTCGCAAAATCAAATTTCTCAAATTGGTTTTCTGCAACTCTAGATCGTAATATGTAAATATAAACCTATATTTACATATTACATTATTTAAAACTCGTTGAACATATTAATGTCTGCTTCTATTGTTTTAATAAACCTTTTGAATTACTAAGTTTTTTGGAGTTTTTTTTTATCAGGAGGCGTCCATAAATGATCGCAATTTTGGGATAATTTTGACCCTGCCCATCCCCAATCCCCATTGTCACAATTGTCACACCTTGGAAGACCCCAAATTAACATTTGTGACGTCACACGAGCGCACAAACCCCACCCCTAACCAAAATTATTTGAGCTATGAATTTAAAATTACCCATCCCCCCCCCTCATGTCACGTTACAAGTGTCCTTTATTTTCTCCGAAAAAATATGGTCACCGTAGTTATACCTTCTCCTTTCCACCATAAATACACTCTATAACAAAAAAAAAAAAAAAAAAAAAAAAAAAAATTGATGCACCAAGAAGGAATCATCCAATTACTTTGAAATTTCATAAGTTGTTTTGACCAAATATGCTAATGAGTAAAATTTGGTGTCTAATGAATGAGTAGTGCAATCTCCAGCGCATCAGAGCTGCGCATCCAGCAGATGTATATAGAGAGCTGTTCATCAATGGTTGTTAAAAATTTTTGTTGCAGTGCGATTTAGGATACCCTTCAATGACTGAAGAAATACCTCGCCGCAGGATGAGCTCATTATGAGCAACTGCCAAAGTTTGAAAGAGGTTGTGTCATTGGATTGAAAGAAGCAGCTTGGGCAAATCGGAGAATCACTCGTCACATGAGTCGAAGTGATATGGCAATTAGAAGCTGATGGAAAGAATGGGTGGACAGTGGCAGATTTCAGCGTCATGATGGTAGCAGTCGACCTAGGGCCACAACAGATCGAGAGGACAGAATAATTATCAGATCAGCTGTCACAGTGCCTGATTCATCACTATCAACCATCAGACAGGCAACCCGCACACGAGTTTACAATATGACCATTCCCAGATGGCTGATAGAGCGAAATCTATGCTCGTACCAACCGTTACACCACCTGCCACTCATGCCTGCACACTATCGAGCCAGATTACAGTGTTGTTTAGCTCGATCAGGTTGGAATGATGCTGACTGGGGACGTGTCTTCAGCAACAAATCCTGCTTCCAACTTTGTTGTGACGATCTTCGAAGGCGTGTCTCTGGAGATGCCAAGAACAGAGTGCCAATCCTGCTTGCACTATTCCATTCCACATAGGCCCTCAACCAGAAGTTATGGTCTTTGGTGCCATTTCCCTTGATAGCCGGACCCCTTTGGTCATTATTAGAGGAACACTTACAGCACTGTGGTACGTCAACGATATTCTGAGACCTGTTTTGTTACTATTCCTTTTGAAGTACCCTGGCCTTATTTTTCAAGAAGATAATGCCAGACCACATATGGCACGTGTTGCTATAAACTGTCTTATAGCTTGTCAAACACTTCCTTGGCCAGCCAGATCTCTCTCCCATTGAGCATGTCTGGGATATGATGGGAAGGCGACTGCATTTACCAGGGAATGTTGATAAACTAGTCCGACAATTGGAGCAAATCTGGTGAGAAATACTGCAGGAGACCATCCGGGAGCTTTATCAATCTATGCCACACCGTGTGGCAGCTTGCATCCAGGCTAGATTATTACTACTTTATTGAGCTCGTTACTTTGTAACTATGTAACTCTGAAATAAATCATTCAATTGTTCTGAAGTTTTAATCATTTTCTATTCTGTACATAATCTTCCTATCCACCAATTTTTGTCTCCGGTGGACAACTCCTTCTTGGTGTGTCGATCTTTTTTTTTTTTTTTTTTTTTTTTTTTGTTATAAAATGTATTATTATAATCAAACCTGAAATCAAAATATATGACTGTGCAACCCGAACCTTGTTGGTTATGCTATCTACCAAATAGAGATCAAAGAGTACTGAAAAGGATTATGAAAAAAGGTTTTCATCACCAACTTCAATAAAAGCAAAGTAGTGAAATCAACTTGATATATGTGTGGATCCCAGACCTGAGCTTAACAGCATACATCCAAAAATAGAATAGCTTTGCAAGAATCAGCTGGCTTATCCATCTCGTTAGATGTGAGTATCAACATTAATTTAATTTTTCATTAATAAGATAAAAATCACAAAAATTTATTAGCTTGAATCATTAAAAATGAAAACAAAATTCCTGTGTTGCATCAATATAAAATTAAATGTGTTTTTAAAATATAAGTGTGCTAGTAATAATATATGTTACAAATTGCTAACAAAGGGGATAAAAAAAAGGTTGTCCGCAGGACATTTACATTGTATCAGCAAAAAACATTCCTATCAAATTTCCAAGCTGAATCTCACTACTATCACACTTAAATTAAAAGCTGTAAAGTTTAGATTTCATGCCAAAGCAACTATATATAAACTAAAAATTAACACTACCAGTGTTTAGCACAGCTTAACCAGTAATATAAGCTTTAACTGCATTGAGCCTTGAGCACTAGCAACATGTATTATGAAGTGGTGAATCTTTCTACATTATCTCATAATGGGAATGTTATGTGTAGGTGTGTTGAATGCTAAATGAATGGTTATTCATTCATCTGGCATTGTGCCTAAAGTAAAGCTTAATCTATGCCACATGAATGTGCCATAGCATGTTAAAGTAAGCATAAGCATAAGGATTCTGAGGCTGTTTTTCATAGACTTGACATTTTTTGCTTTAAAAGAAACTCTAAATTGAGAGAAGACTATCTCAATAGTTTCGATCAGCGGTTCTCAACCTTTTGACTAGTGTGTACCATCTAAACAAAAATTGAAAACCTTTAGTAGCGCCACTACAAAGTACTACTACCACTACCATTACCACTCTTAAACAAAGCTCAGATCGCATAAATTTACGAGTGTTAGAGAAAAAACTCAATCATTATATTGGGGTTTTAATTTTGAATGTAATAGTTAAAAATACTTTGCTTCTTTGCTTACCACATATTTTTCTTTTGCGTACCACCAGTTGAAAACCCCTGGTTTAGATCAATGTTTCAGAAGCTTTTTTTCAAGTTGGGACCACTTTTATGAGTTAATAACAAGGCGGTCCACAGAACATTTTTACAAGTTAAAATATTCTGCATACCTGGTTTTTATCCCTTTCAAAACAGTTTTTAGCATATATTGCTACCAGGATATTTATATTTTAAAAATACATTTAATTTTATTTTGATGTTAAATAGGAAATTTATTTTCATTTTAAATAATTTTAAAATAACAGATTTTCATGATCTTATTAATGAAAAATCAAATGCATGTTGGTACTTACAATTAATGAGATAAGCATGCCAGTTCTTGCGCAGTTGTTCTAGTATTTTTGGATGGTGGATGCTGGTAAGCTTGTAGAGACATTAGGCTCTTTTTGAAAGCAGGAGAGATAAAAAATGAGCAATACCCTCACCATGACTCTAACCACGGACCTCTCGAAATATGCGCCATGTGTGCTGACCACTACACCACAAAGGCATGCTAAGAAGGCGGGAGAAATACCTTATATACCCCCCTTTTAAAGAACGACTGGGAATAGGGGACCCTATCTCAAAATCCTGGTGGTGGAGAATCATCCGCCACCTTTTTTAGTTCGGGTGCCACTGTAAATACATTAGGTTCTTTTGAAAGCAGGAGAGATGAAAAATAAGCAATACCCTTGATGGGACTCGAACCACAGACCTCTCGAAGCATGTACCGAGTGTGCTGACCACTACACCACGAAGGCAAGTGAAGTACCTTATAAGCTTAGGTTTGAGATATGCACACAAAGTCGATTTCAGTACTTTGCTTTTATTTGAGTTTGTGATGTTAACCCTCTCTCACACAAAGAGGCAAACTGAATTGTAGTTTTCAAAGTACAGTTGTACAGTTCACTATATTCTGTTTTTATTGGCAGTGAGCCCAGATGTGCAGGATGGCAAGAAGCACCACAAAGCATAGTGCTTTAAATATTTCTTTTGTTGCTAAGACTAAAGGGGCACATCCATATGTAGGGTAACCGGTAATAAATTTCATAAAATGTCAATCTTCAGAGAAAAGGTGATAGATGATTTCGAAACTTTAAGATTTTCAGCTGTAATGTGACAGCAGTTATTTGAATTTTATTTTTTATCTTTTTTGGAAATCTTAGGAGCAACAAAGGCAGGCTTCAAAGACCACTTGTTGTCTGTGGGCCATAGTTTGAAAAACATTCTTTAAGACAATTCTGTGTTGCTTATATCATAGCAACAATTTGTTGTAGGTCCATTCCTGTTTCAATACAATCATGTTCCTGTCAGAGTTGCCAAAGTGTGCAGCTTTTCACAAGTCTGAATACTTTTAAGAAAATGCTATTAAAATTGCTAATTTTTCACTACTCTCATTATGCTATTTTTACTACCTTAAAAATTTTATTAATCTTGAGGCATATATATTTTTACATAATATATCTATGAAAACTAATTTTCAATAATAGTAATTTACAACAATAAAAGTAATAATTTACCTATATTTAAATAAAAGTTGTCATATGGCAATTTTATATTCAGAGGGAAATCAAAATTATCTTAGAATTAATTAAGTACAGATTAAAAAAATAAAGTA